TGGGGCGCTTGGCATCAAGGGCCATAGTAATGTCATTATGGACCTTCAGTAGTGCCGATTCAGTGCTGTGACAAGGCCTAAAGCCTGATTGAAACTTACCGACAACATCCGGACGATCCAGATGGGACTGAAACTGGGTAAGGACGATTTTTCCATAACCTTAGATAGAAAAGGCAAAAGGGAAATTGGGCAGAAATTAGATGGAAGAGAGGGATCAAGGTTAGGCTTCTTGAGGAGCGGTCTCACTATCGCATGCTTAAGGGCGGTGGGGACCATGCCCAGCCTTAGGCAGCAATTTATAAATGTGACCAGAGAGGGACCAATAGTGTCAATAACCTCCTTAATTATCCCGGCTGGGACAGGATCCGTGGGGGAGGAGGCAGACTTTGACTGCAACACTGGAAACAGTGAAGGTTTCCAGAGTATACATCAATACATGAGAAACAGATGGTACAGAATGGGAAAGTTTGTTTTGGTGGACCATCCTTTAGTTATAGGCCTAGGCTGAGGGGCATCCCATGATTCTCTCCTCTCTTATATGCTACCACTACTACTACTACTAATAATAATAATAATAACAATAATAATAATAATAATAATAATAGTAAGGTCTAAACCTGATTTTGTAAACAGCCCTGAGATGACCTTTCTTGCAATTTGGCACTATACAAATAAAAGTAAACTGAATTCAATTGAACTGGTGTAGTATCAAGTGGGATATCAGGATTCACACTGTAACATCTGTATAGACAAACCTGTTGGTGTCAAAGCTGAACTAAATGGTCTAATATTTTATTCATTGTGTGTCTGAATCTGTGGAAATGGACAGAGAAGAGAAGCAGCGAGATAATAGCAGATTTTGGTTCATTTCCTCCTGTTGGTGTAATTTCAGAACTCAGATTACTCTCTTTCCTCTTTTGTTTCCCATTTCTACATTTTACACAGACACTCATCCTGCTGATTCAACCACATCTCTCTTTTATTCTTTTAGCTGCTGAGCTTCAGTCAGTCTGAAGCTCTGCTGCCACCTACTGGTCTCCTGCACATGGCTTTGTTCACCTCTAGGCTCTTGATAAAATATAATTTCAGTATATTCACTTAAACTGATTCGTCTTTGTTAAACCTCATTAAAATTGTTTGGTCTTATTGTTTGTTTTTACTAAGGCACGGGACTGATTTACTTAAACATTTTAATTTTGATATTAGGCTGAGGTCCCTGAGTATGCCCACACCCACTATGGCTTCACAGCATGGCTATGGTAGTTCTATGGTAGCTGTAAGACAGTAGAAATGTACTACTTACAAGTGTCCTTCACCTACCATACAGCTAGCCTAATATTACAATATCTCCATTTGTAAAAGAAAGTCAGTATTTTCTGTGATCATGTTACTGTAGTTGTTAAAAAAAGCATCCTTTCCACCGTTGTTAAGGTGGTTTAGGACGGTAACTCATCTTCCACCTCTCTCCTTGTTCCACTTCAAGCTAATCTACACAGCGGACAAAGCTACAGTATTGTTCAAAATAATAGCAGTACAATGTGACTAACCAGAATAATCCAGGTTTTTAGTATATTTTTTATTGCTACATGGCAAACAAGTTACCAGTAGGTGCAGTAGATTCTCAGAAAGCAAACAAGACCCAGCATTCATGATATGCACGCTCTTAAGGCTGTGAAATTGGGCAATTAGTTGAAAGGGGTGTGTTCAAAAAAATAGCAGTGTCTGCCGTTGACTGTACAAACACAAAACTATGTTGTACAAACGTTTTTGTTTCTAGGATTTAGCAATCCTGTGAATCACTAAACTAATATTTAGTTGTATGACCACAGTTTGTTATAACTGCTTCACATCTGTGTGGCATGGAGTCAACCAACTTGTGGCACCTTTCAGCTGTTATTACACTCCATGATTCTTTAACAACATTCCACAATTCATTTACATTTCTTGGTTTTGCTTCAGAAACAGCATTTTTGATATCACCCCACAAGTTCTCGATTGGATTAAGGTCCGGGGATTGGGCTGGCCACTCCATAACATTAATTTTGTTGGTTTGGAACCAACACTTTGCTCGTTTACTAGTGTGTTTGGGGTCATTGTCTTGTTGAAACAACCATTTCAAGGGCATGTCCTCTTCAGCATAAGGCAACATGACCTCTTCAAGTATTTTGACATATGCAAACTGATCCATGATCCCTGGTATGCGATAAATAGGCCCAACACCATAGTAGGAGAAACATGCCCATATCATGATGCTTGCACCACCATGCTTCACTGTCTTCACTGTGTACTGTGGCTTGAATTCAGAGTTTGGGGGTCGTCTCACAAACTGTCTGTGGCCCTTGGACCCAAAAAGAACAATTTTACTCTCATCAGTCCACAAAATGTTCCTCCATTTCTCTTTAGGCCAGTTGATGTGTTCTTTGGCAAATTGTAACCTCTTCTGCACATGCCTTTTTTTTAACAGAGGGACTTTGCGGGGGATTCTTGAAAATAGATTAGCTTCACACAGACGTCTTCTAACTGTCACAGTACTTACAGGTAACTCCAGACTGTCTTTGATCATCCTGGAGCTGATCATTGGCTGGGCCTTTGCCATTCTGGTTATTCTTCGATCCATTTTGATGGTTGTCTTCCGTTTTCTTCCACGTCTCTCTGGTTTTGCTCTCCATTTTAAGGCATTGGAGATCATTTTAGCTGAACAGCCTATAATTTTTTGCACCTCTTTATAGGTTTTCCCCTCTCCAATCAACTTTTTAATCAAAGTACGCTGTTCTTCTGAACAATGTCTTGAACGACCCATTTTCCTCAGGCTTTCAAATGCATGTTCAACAAGTGCTGGCTTCATCCTTAAATAGGGGCCACCTGATTCACACCTGTTATTTCACAAAATTGATGACCTCACTGATTGAATGCCACACTGCTATTTTTTTGAACACACCCCTTTCAACTAATTGCCCAATTGCACAGCCTTAAGAGCGTGCATATCATGAATGCTGGGTCTTGTTTGCTTTCTGAGAATCTACTGCACCTACTGGTAACTTGTTTGCCATGTAGCAATAAAAAAATATACTAAAAACCTGGATTATTCTGGTTAGTCACATTGTACAGCTATTATTTTGAACAATACTGTATGCTTTATATGGAAAACTGTAAAAGTGGTAACAATATTCAATGACAGCGTACATGCAAAATCATATTAGGCAGCGACTCACTTGGCAAGTTGCTACCTCATGACTGTGTCCTCCATAAATGCGGTCCCCACCCAGTCAGACATCCCTTAAACCTAGTACAAAAGATGCACATCGATGTTTGACTGATGCCAGTTTGCCACATCTTTAAAATATTAGTGAGAGTAAATGTTTAATACTCACCTTATAGCAACACTTGTAGATGTAGAAACAATGCTCCATACACACTAACATCTGATGGTATTTTGGACATTATTATTATTATTATTATTATGCCAGATTGAAGGTTAACATATCAACCAGTTCAAATTTCATTTATTCATTTTTGATACATACAAAATCACTATAAAATGTCACTGTAATATTGTGTCATTGCAACATCACCTGTGTTTTTTTTATTTTTTCATCATTCACAAAATAAAGTGATTGTTTCACTGCACTTCATTCTTGAAAAAAAAAAAATCTAAATTTTTCTGTGAACAAGCAATCCAAGAAGAAACATCACCTGCTCTCTCAACAAAAAGACCATTTTCTGTCAAAAAATAAAATGGAGGAAAAAAGGTCTGAGAATAAATAAAATCCAAAGCAAAGAGTTTTGTAAAGTCCCAGAACAGTGTGTCCTGAACCTCCGGTATAACTTTCTGCGGCTCTGTGGGGAAACCCCCTCACACGGGTTTGACCAAACATGAAACTAGCTTCTCCTGTTCCTGGTTATACAGTTGATTTTTACAAGTTTTTTCATCTTATTATGACCTGGATGACTGAGAATCTGCACAGACAATCTATAATGTAGTTAAGTGTCAGGCCACATGGTTCTAAATGAGTCTAAATGTGATTTTTTTGAATAACAATGAAGTGACAAAATGAAAAATGCCAGCAGACAAACAAACTCCATCTTTAAAGAGCCCATGTCATGCACATTTCCAGCCATTTAATGTTTAATCTTGGCTGCCTCTAGATTAGCTTGGCACCCCTCATAACGCCAAACAGTCTGTAATTTTTTCAGAATGATAAAACCAGAAAGCCTCTTCCAGAAAATGAGAGAACAGTTCGTGAATGTGCACAACTCCTGCTGCTGGTGTTGTGTCACAAGTGAACACCACAACGAGCCATAACAGCATTAATTAATCTGAATGTCTCCTCCACAGATAGGTAAACATCGGTATATGTATACTCTAAATAAAGCAGGTAGTTCAGAAACCCCATATTTTAACTGGCATAATGCAGACATAGTAACTTCTCCAGCCTTACAACAATTCTCTCCAATGTTACAGAAACAAGGCACTAACAGACACGCAACGTGCGTTTTTTTTTAAACTTACCGTTAAATCCCACTGAGTAGTGGAAACATCACTCCCTTTCAAGTAGCTCCAAGGTCAATAAATCCAACCCGTGGTCGCTGCGTCTTCCCCCATATGACCACATACAGGCCCAAAGCAGTGAAACTAATTCCAACAGGTAGTGTAACACCGACAATAACATTATGGATCATTAATCCGCTGGTTAACCAGCAACACATCACATGCAGCAGACACATTGGCCTCAAGCAGTCAGAACAAACAGGTACTGTGCTCTGAGGGAATCCAGCGTTGATCAGTTGATCATTAACTACCGTGGGGGCTTCACTGGCTGGCTGTATTGGCCCTGTATTTTCCTCTACATCCTCTGGTCACAGTGCAGCAGCAGGAGGGAAAATATATCCAGAAAACCAGGAGCAGTCAAAAAATTCTGCTTTTACAATGGGACCGTGGATGTCAGGCAAGCTCACATGAACACACAGTGGCCTGGAGATCATGACCATTCAAGGAAATCCTTAAACTATCACATAATACTTTATTTTGTTTTAAAAAAAAGACGTGTATAAACCAAGTTGCTTCTGCATCAAAATCCTAGAATATATGCTCACCTCATTTTTTTGTGCTTTAGGTTATGTCTAAGATGATAATTCACTGTTGTAACATTGTAGATAAGTCAAAAAACAAAGAAAAGCATGCCATGGGCTCTTTAGCTGTGCTCCAATATATGTGACTCCTATAAAACTGTGTTGCTGCATGCAGCAGGAAATGAGAACTCGGGCATGGAGTGTGAAATAGTCCCCTGGAACAGAAGGTGACAAGGGTTCAGTGCATCCTGGCGGCTGAGAAGCTGCAGAGGAGGGACGGACATGAAGATCAACAGTTCAGGTTTAAGGGACGGTGACATGGAAGGGGCTGCCGGGGACGTTCTCATCTCCCCATTTGACGATGAGGATGTAGCTGCCCTGTTCTTTGACCGTGTATGTGACATTGTACATCCTGTTGCCCATGTGTTTCACGTACACCTCCTCGCAAGGTGTCTTTGGCCCGTGCACGCCAACCATCAGCATGTTGGTGCCTGTGGAGTCAAGAACAGGGTACCTGTCAGTGGTGAGCCCCAGACTTGTTCATGTCTTTATATGTTTAGTTCATGTCACTGCTCACCTGCTTTGCTGCAGTCAACTATGAAGGCATTCTTCTGACCTATGAAGGCTTTAGAGAGGCCGCCGCCTCTGGAGATGACTTTACTGGCATCTGAGGAGAATTTGGGTAAGGAGGCAAAGGCACTGCCCATGGCTGAAGACTTGGTGAGAGCTTCCACAAGAACAGATGATGTCTCATGCAGGCTGTGTCCACCCGACAGACGAGGCCCTGCAGAGAGGTTTAGAGAAACGTCAGTCGCAACCATGCTGCAGAACTTTAACACACGTGTGTCAAGAGTCTTGCTCAGAAGTGTACAAGGCGGCACGGTACCTCCAGGAGAGTTTTCATGTTCTCCAGCTCAAAACTTTAATCTGATCAGTGTATCTTATCAGTCGGTACATGAACTTTGTGGGCATCACTACACAGCATGGCACAAACTTGTCACAATCTGTGTGTACCCCTGTAATATTTCTCTGGAAAATAAATGCCATGAATTTTCTCAAAAAAAAAAATTCTCAACTTTTGCACAACTGTAGTTTTTTTTTTACTTTGCAGCATGAAACAAGCCAGTCAGAAAAGCAATATTCTTTTAAGTTGTTAGCAAGATTGCGGTGAGAGGTGGCTTTTTTCTTTTCCTTTATATTGAATTTCTTGTATTTTGGAGATGGGTTGTCAGGACCCGAGAGGCTCACACCAGCTTCCTTTCACTGTTTTCATTTTGTATTATTTAGTTTCAAAGATAATGTTAAGCAAAAATATAGCATTGGGGTTAGGTTTGAAAAGTAGTAGACCCATCTCGAGTTAGCTTGTAAATACAGGGGTGAAGACTGGTTTCAGGTCCCAGTTTTAAGCTACTGAAGAGCTTCTCTTCATTGACCCACCTGAGACTTTGGCCTTGAAAGGGCTGCCTACGATGTGCTGGGGTCCTCCGTACTTTATGGAGATCAGGTAGTTTCCAGGAGCCATGGGTGTGTAGGAGACCTTGTAGCCCTCAGGACACTCCTGACAATCCATCTTCACTTTTGACGGGCCGTCAATGGTCACAGACAGAGCTCCTGAACCGGCGTTACACGTGTTCACTATAAACTCTGACGCCACGCCTGAAGGAGGAGAAGGATGTACTAAATTCTACTTAATCTTTTTATTAATGCCTTTGAAAATAAGGTGTTTAAATACCTGTGTTTCCTCCCTCTAGTCCAGGTCCAAAAGCAGACACCATTCCGGGATCTGCGGCCTGTCCTGGTTCTCCAACTCTGAACTTAAAGGGGCTGCCGGGAACATGGCTGCCGTTGAAACGAACATCAATAGAGTGAACGCCATTCTCCCTCGGGATGAACCTGATAGCATGCTGGTCTGCAGAAACACGAGATGCCAGTGAAAACGAATGAGGTCTTAGAAGCAAAAGCGGGTGGTGATCTACCCTTCTACAATAACATCAGCTTTTTAAATCAGTCTTTTTCTATAAATGTTCATTTCTTAAAGTTGATTCATAATAATATAATTTGGTAGTAATCAAATTGAAAATAGAAATGTCATTCAATTTATGTGCTTCCAATTATTTAATTCCAGTAAGTGTGAGCTAGAGTATTTTCCTGAATTCACAGCAGATAAAGTAAACATTCAAAACAGACAATTTGTCTACTGTTAAGCACAAAACTGGAGAATAATGTTTCCAGTAATGAATGAATGATGAAAAAACATTTACCTAGGAATGGAATTCCTATTTTTCCACACCCAGTCCATGTCATGGGAAATTACAGATATTTAAAATCAATCCTAAAACCATCTGGACATGAGGGCGGAAACTTCAAACAAGACTAATCTAAACTTTGTTCTAATTTCTGGGGAAACCTTAGCAATGCGCTGTGCTAAAGCATTTCTCTGTAGCTTTGGGAGACAAAAAGATTCAGAGCTTTTTATTGTTCTTTTAATGACAATGCAGCCCTAATTATGTTCTTAACATTGACAGAAGAGCTGGAATGTCTTGGCAGCAGTGTAGCATATATGAATAATTGCAGTTAAAAGTTAACACACAATTACAGTTATTCTACTTTTAGGTAAACTAGGATTTCAATTTGTTCCTGATACATTTAAAAGAAATTCTGGATCACCTTTAGATGTCAGTTTCAGTTTTCAGGACAGTAAAGGGGGCTCAGACCCTTGAGATAAACAGACATATAGAGCTTAATACACAGACACGAACATTATGAATGTCCTTATGGATAATAGCATGCAGAGGTATAGAAGAAAAAACTAAAAGCTAGTGGGCCCAGACTTGAGCCTTGTGGCACCCAATATATACAGTAGACCCAGCCAGTTACTAGGCTGTATTTTGTCATTAAATCCTTCCACTAGGCAGTTTGACCACTTGGTGCTTACCACTGTCCAGCTCAGTAATGTAGCACTCCTCTAAGGCTCCCGATGGTGTGTGGATCTGAGCATCAATCTGCCCTCTGGCTCCATTCAGCTGCACAGCAAAGGAGGCCTCCTGCCCCACTTTCAGATCCCTCTCCTGATGAAGAATGGGAAGACAGATTACATCTGTCTCCTGTAAATGAGCCTCTGGGTAAAATTAGGTTTCTCTGGTGTTTCACATTTCCCATCCACAAACAAATTTCACAGTATAAGAGTAATTCCAGGGCCACTGCATGAGGCTAGCACTGAAAGGATTAGTCATGTAAATTATTCATCATTTGACACAAAATAAATGAGCAGTAACTTTAACCATCAGTTATTTTCTAAGCAATTGTTTAGGCCAAAATGAAAAACTGTTGAGTTGTGTTCTTGATAGAGACAGACATGTTATTTTATTTTGGTAAGCAGCCCTGTTAAATTGTGTGTTTTTTGCTATGTAACAAATTCCTGTGTATATGTCGTAGCTCTAGTTTGTTTCTTTTTACGACACTTGTTTTTCTTTTCGACAGTTTATATACAACTACTGACTGGGGAATTCTCTCTCTTGTACTTATCCCACGGCGACTGATGGAGTGTTACCAGTTGTGCTGTGAAGGCGAAATAAACTTGAACCGTGAGAACTATACAGTGTGTATTATGGCGAATGATGCAGAAAACCCAACAAAAACCCTTGTTGTTTCCAGTTTCTCCAGTGATCCCAGAGTTTTTTCTCTGTTTTATATCCCTTTTATATCCACTTGATATATTTTTGGTCTTGGCCTGTTGGTCAGATGACACGTGACATTTGAGGATGTCACCTTGCACCTTTTTCATTATTTGATGCTTTGCAGACTAATGTGTCAGCATTTTGACTGATCCACTATTAACAAATCTAACCAAAAATTACAACATCAGGTGATAGTTTTGGAGGATCCTGTAGTATATGCAGTGTAATGCATATAGGACTATTATGTTAAGTTAAGACAGGGGACTGTTTCTTTAAGTAGATACGGAAGTTGACCCAGGATATGATGTTATGTTTCCGGTTGAGTAAAAGGTCGTGTACTGGTTGAAGTCTGTTCATTAAAAGATATAAGCGGCAATCTCCCTCTGTTGGTCTAAAAAACCCACGCAACAGTGTAAAACACACAACATGGTGGCAGAACGGTCGTGAGTTTTGTGGTCGCGGGACCGAGACGCATGAAAGCGAGTATCTCGAACAAAAAAAAAAAAAAAAGAGAGATGGAGCAGTTTAAGCCGCCCTCCTTGCTCGTTTTGACGGGAAACATCAGCGAAAACTGGCGAAGATGGTACGTCTTGTACACGACAGCCGCTGAGCTTGAAAAAAAAAGACATGAAAGTGCAAGTGGCGATATTACTGCATGCGCTGGGAGATGAAGCACTGGAGGTGTACAACACATTAGCAGTTGCAAGCAACAGCGATGCTAACGTCCAAGATATAATACAGGCGTTCAGAGCCAATTGCACACCAAAGAAAAATCTCATCTTTGAGAGACACCACTTTTGGACTCATACATGGCAAGAAGGACTATCCATTGACAAGTTCGCCATGGAACTAAGACAAAAAAGCAAAGATTGTGAATTTGGAGCATTGGAAGATGACATGATCAGAGATAAGATCGTCTTCAGTGCTACTGATAACCGTGTAAAAGAAAAGCTATTGAGGGAGTCAAATCTAACATTGACCTCTACAATAGATACCTGCAGAGCAGCAGAAATAGCCAAAGAACAAATGAACATTATGGTCTCTACAAAAAAGGACAGCAAAGTACATTCCATAATGGAAGCTGCAAAAACACATAAATACAATAAAAACAAGGCAGCCAAGTCCACACTCGCACATTAGAAAAAAGACAAGTATGGGGGTGAAAAAACATGTCACAGGTGTGGAGGAGCACACGCACCAAGAGCATGTCCTGCCCATGGAGAAAAATGCAGAGCCTGTGGAAAGTTAAATCACTATGCAAAAATGTGCAAATCAAAATCAGCACAAGCAACGCAAAAGGTCAACTCACTCTTCATGGACACGATACACTGCACAAAGGTACATGCCTTAGAGGGAGCCGAGGAAACCTGGCATGCCACAATGAAAATAAGAGGCGTTCCAATTAAGTTCAAATTGGATACTGGAGCAGATGCAAACGTGCTGCCACTCTCACAAGCAAAAACTCTACCAGGGGCATTATGTATGAGACAGACAAAAACCATGCTAGTCGCATATGGTGGGGAGAGAATCAAGCCAGCAGGCTGTGTGTATCTGACATGCAACATCAAGCATCAAGACGCTTAGGTCCTACAAGAATCAAGGCTGTTGTTCTTTGTCACGAGGGAGCCATCATGTCCCATACTGGGAAGAGCAGCATGTGAACAGTTGAATCTGGTAAAACGTATTTAGGCAATGAAAGTCAGCTTGCCTGCCACCAAAGAGGAGCTGGTAAAACAGTTCCCAGAAGTATTTGAAGGACTGGGGGAAATTTCCAGGCGAGCACCACATACACACAGACCCGAGTGTCACCCCTGTGATCCATGGCTGCGGAAAGATCCCGTTTGCAGTTTTGGACAGGTTAAAAGAGACACTGGATCACCTTGAAACGGCTGAGGTAATTGCCCGGGTAACAGAGCCTACAGAGTGGGTTAATAACCTGGTAATAACGAAGAAGAAGACAGGTTCTCTCAGGGTGTGCCTTGACCCTCGAGAACTAAACAAAGCAGTGAAAAGACAGCACTACTCCATACCAACACCCTCAGATGTGCAAAGCAAACTGGCTGGTAAAAAACTGTTCACAATACTGGATGAGAAAGACAGATACTGGGAAATAAAGCTTGACGAGCCGTCATCGAGGCTGTGTACATTCAACACACCGTGGGGACACTACAGATTCAAGCACCTGCCATTTGGCATAAAATCAGCCAGTGAAGTGTTCCAGCAAAAGAACAGTGAAGCATTTGGTGACATTGAAGGAGTCCATGTGATAGCTGATGACATGATCATTGCTGCAGCCGATGAAAATGAACACAGTGAAATCCTGCAAATGGTCATGCAGAGGGCGAAACAACTAAACGTAAAGTTCAACCCTGACAAAGTACAGTACAAAGTCACTGAAGTGAAATACATGGGCCACATAATCAGTCACAAAGGTGTCCAACCAGATGGCAACAAAGTTGATGCTATTGTGAACATGCCACCTCCGTCAGATCGGAAAGGTTTTCAGAGGTTATTAGGCATGACCAAATACCTATCACAATACATTCCCAATAAGGCAGCTGTGACTGCCCCATTAAGGCAACTGTTGAGAAGAGATGCACAGTGGCTCTGGTCACATGAGCACGAAGCAGCATACAGTGCTGTCAAAAGGGCACTCACAGAAGCTCCAGTACTGAGGTTCTTCGATCCCAAGGCACAAAGCATCTTACAAGCAGACGCATCGAAAGACGGTCTGGGAGCCTGCCTAATGCAAGAGGGGCAGCCAGTTGCGTATGCATCGAGAGCGCTGACAGACACTGAACGCAATTATGCCCAAATCGAAAAGGAGCTACTGGCTGTGGTGTTCGCGGCACGAAAGTTCCACCAGTTCGTGTTTGGAGCGCCAGTTGTGGTCCAGTCTGACCACAAGCCACTGGAGGCCATATTCACGAAATCACTGGGAGCAGCACCCGCCAGGCTACAGAGAATGCTGATGCAGCTACAACGCTACGACCTGCATGTCGTATACACACCTGGTAAAGAAATGTTCATTGCAGACACTCTATCCAGAGCGTTTGGATCAACTGAAACACAGGATGAGACCATGCTCATGGAAGAAAGAATAGTGCACGCATTAGCAGCTACCCGATGCTCCTGGAAGCGACATGACAGAACAGCTGAAAAGGGCCACTAATGAGGATGCTGTGCTAATGAAGCTACTGAATACACTACAAAAATGGCCACAGCATAAGAAACAGCTAGATCCAGAGTTGCGTGTCTACTGGCCCATCAGACACTCTATCGCTCTGAGTGACAGAATTCTGATGACAGGTGATCGTTTCATTATCCCCAAAAGAACGAGACCGGCAATGCTACAAAGGCTGCATGCTGCTCACCAAGGAATACAGCGTACAAAAGAACTGGCACGCAAGTATCTATACTGGCCAGGAATGTCTATGACTATAGAGCAGTTGATAGCTAAGTGCAACACCTGTCAAGAGCACCTGCCAAGGAATCAGAAAGAGCCCCTGAAAGCGCACGAACTGCCAGAACTGCCATGGTACAAAGTTGGCATGGATGTGTTTGAGCTGCATGGGAGATCGTTTCTTCTCACTGTGGACTACTTTTCAAAGTATCCTGAGGTCCAGCAGCTTCGTGACAAGACATCACACACAATCATAGCCAAGCTCAAGGGACTGTTTGCTAGACATGGAGTACCTAAGGAGGTGGTCAGCGATCACGTGCCATTTGCTAGCGCTGATAGGCGTTGCTTACTTGAAGATTGGGGATAAAGTGGATGTTTTCTAGTCCAGGCTACCCACAGTCCAATGGCATGGTTGAGAGGACAATAAGAACCATCAAACTCATGTTGAAAAAAGCCAAACAGACAAAAACTGATCCACATCTTGCTCAACTGTCACTAAGAAACACTCCTGTAACAGGTTTGGGACTTTCACCAGCTGAGATGCTAATGGGGCGTGTTCTAAGGAGTACGCTTCCAGCTTCCACTGCTACACTCAGGCCTAAGCACCCTACCGATGTTAAAAGGAGGTTAATCAGACAACAGAGGATGCAGGAAAGGCACTACAACCAGCATGCAAAGCCACTATCAGTGCTTGAGCCAGGAATGGGTGTCAATATGGAGACTCCTCAAGGGTGGAAACCAGCTCAAGTGAAGAAACAAAGGACTGAACCCAGGTCTTATGACATTGTGACTCCGGCTGGACAGAGGTTCAGAAGGAATCGAAGGCACCTGAGGCCAACCCTACACACTGGTGCTCATGCCACGGAGGATGAGAACCCTGTGAATGAGGTGGACTCACCAACAAATGCGGAGACTGACTGTACGCCACTGCTGGGCCCACACGACGCAGAACAGAAGGTCTCAAGGGTACAGGAGCGGTGCACACGGAGTGGAAGGGTGCTTAAGCAACCGGCTAGGTTTCGGGACTTTGAGATGAAGTGAAATGAAGTTCCTTGTTTTGATAATTTGTCACTCAAATAGATATAGTTCGGTCAAGTTAAATTTATATTGCAGTAAATGTTTAGGATTGTTCAAGTCTGAAGTAAGCTAGTAGGTGGTTGAGCAATATATATGGAAAAAAAAATGAAAACAACTTTGAGAAGGGGGATGTAGTATATGCAGCGTAATGCATATAGGACTATTATGTTAAGTTAAGACAGGGGACTGTTTCTTTAAGTAGATACGGAAGTTGACCCAGGATATGATGTTATGTTTCCGGTTGAGTAAAAGGTCGTGTACTGGTTGAAGTCTGTTCATTAAAAGATATAAGCGGCAATCTCCCTCTGTTGGTCTAAAAAACCCACGCAACAGTGTAAAACACAAAATAGATCCTGTCAGGTCCTCTCGGTGCGACCTGCCTCTTCTCCTTTCTCTCCCCTGCTCTCTCATCCCGCGGGCAACACAGCTGAGACGCATTCACCCGTTGATTAACTCCCAGGCGTGGTACACAGCTGACGCTCATCCACGCTAATCACCTTCCTTCCTTATTGAAATCTCTGGCAGACGCTCCTTTGTGGCCAGAGCATTGTATGTATATGTTTGTATATGGATTGTGTTACGCCAATGATTTTCAATGCTGTCAGTTTCCTGTGCTGTTGATTTTTTTTGGACATTGGTTATATGAGTTTCGCCACACGTTAAGTGTTCAACGCTGACAGTTTCCTGTGCTGTTGATATGCTTTTGTGGCGCTCTTCCCTTGCCGTGATGACCTCCGGCGAGTGTTCCTGACGTGGGTGTCTTACGGTGATCTTCCCAGCCATTGATCAACATCAATAACAACATCGTGTCAGGAATAGCTCGACAGCTAATTTACATCCATAGTCTCAGGCCTATTAAAACTTACAAGAATAACCTACTGCATCTAAATGGAACATCGCAGTATCCTTTAGAAATCGCCCGTGTCATTCTGGATGTATCATCTTTATATTTAACAAAATGACTCAAAGGAGGTGCCAGTCCATGAAGAATAACGGTATTAATGTTAATTAGTGATATTGTCATTAAAAGGCATTTCCCACCTTATCTTATAAATTCAGTGTTCCCATCTCAAATAATTTCAGGCCAAATAATCTGCTTATAGAGCATCCATCTGTGAATAATTACAAGTAACTGCCTTTTTTGTTGTTGCAACTTGAAATATTTTGGAGGATTTATATAGCTTCTTTGTTAATTTTCATGCAAATCACACTGATCTTTCCCTGTGTAAATAAAGTCTGCTCAGCCTTAGGTTAAACATGGTGCATGAGAAGATGTAAAATAACTGGTGTTAACATAAAGGTCAGAGGTTAAATACACAGAGCTGGAGTTATATGAGGAAGGAGGCAGAGATACATTTACACACATGAACGTGAAAATACACTCATGTCAGTAAGGCACTAAAAATAAATCTATTCATAGTAAATGAAAATGTCTCCTTTAATCCAGCCAAGGACACATCAGGGGGTTTAATGTGGAGCATTTATAGAGAGGCTTCATATAGCTGTGAGCTCAGCTGCTGCTGTATGAACTGTTTCATCTGCCCCAGTGAAGACACAGGGCTCTCACCTGCAGGCTGGTGATGGTGAGGCGGCGAGCGTCATCTGACAGAGTGGCAATGGGGACGATGAACGGAGAGTCTGGGATGTGTTCATCGTTGAATTTAATGGAAACCTCATAATCACCTGAAGATGGGACATAACAGCAAAACAAAAAAACATCTTTTCTGTCTCTCTAACAGACGTCTCCTGTAGGATTCATTGTCTTCTGTTCTACTCTCAACAATGCAGCAGCCTAGTAACTGCTCATATTTTTTTGTAGATTCATCATTACCATTAGTTGTGACAAATTTTTACTCACTAATTTCATTTTGAAGTGGTGAGGAAATGTAAAATCCTGTATATGTTGTGACTGTAAGGCTGTGTAAAACCTCTGATTATTTGACGGAAAAGCTGCCACAGCTGGTGCCTCCACTGGTGTCAACAATCAGCAGTAAAGATGGAAACATTAGGTCATCAGCTCTGTAAGCCAGAAACCTGATCTAGAGTCTCACCAGGCTCCTGAACCACATAGGCGACTCCACAGGACCCGTCCTTTCTGTCTTCAAAGGTGATCTCAGCCTTGCTGGGTCCCTCCACAGCAATGGAGAGACCTCCAGCTCCAGCTTCTCTGGTCCAGATACTGAACTCAGCTGAGAAACAACAAAACACATTGTGTATTCACAAAAATGTTTTGTTCCTATGACCCTGAGCCCCATATACAGGAAAAAATATCATCCTGGGACCATGTCCATGCAAATTCTCAGTCATCCAGGTCTTGGTATGCTGAAAAAAAACTTATTAGAAGGCACCTGGACGTAGTTTTAGGTAGAAGATGTTTCACCTCGCACCCAAGAGGCTTCAGTCCGACTGGTGGTGGGCAGGAGGTATTTATCCCACTGGGTGGGGTTTCAGTCCTTGGATGGCCAACATTGTCCCCTAACGACTTAGTCCCTTATATGGCTGGTTTATCAGAGAAGCTGAAAAGGATTTTCCCCAACCACAATATCCCAGTCAACTTTAAGCCAGAGAACACCCTGCAGCAGAGACTGGGTACCCAAAGGACAAAACACCCAGACACGGAGTTATGTGGTGTACTGTATGCTATTAAATATAGTGTAATGGCTTGTACACTGGGGAAACAAAACAGCTGCTCCACAAACGCATGGCCCAACACAGGAGGGCCAACCCCAGTGGACCTGAGTCAGCAGTCCACCTCCCCCTGAAGGACAAAGGACATTCTTTTGAGGACAGTAAAGTCCAGATCCTCTCCAGAGAACATTGCTGAGAGGAGTTAAGGAAGCTATTTTTGTCGAAATAGACCACCCCTCACTAAATAGGGGTGGTGGACTAAGACACAACTTGTCATCCATCTACAACTCTGTTTTGAGATCTCTGCCCAAACATGTCCACCAGGACAATAGGCGTCAGTCCACAGGGGAGGGATCAAAGACAGGTAATGACGCTCACCAATACTGGGCTATAACGACTCAGTCATTAGGGGACATTGTTGGCCGCCAAAGAACTGAAACACCACAGAGGGAGAAAAATATCTCCGGCTCAACACCAGTCAGACAGTCAGTCATGTAAACTGCAAAATGCATCGACTATATAAAAACCTTTCACAGTACAGAGTCATCAATAGACAAAAGTCTTCTTTGATACACACAGAGAAGATGAGAACAAAAAAGAAGCAGGAGAGCGGGTATGGGGTAGAGGAAGAAAAAGAAAGAAAACAAGACAGACAACAAAAAGAAGAAGCTGAACCTAAAGTTACTAGCCTACCTGGGATTCCTGCCACTCCTCGGTCCAGTCCAGTTCCACCTGCTCGAACTTTGTGGGCCCCTCCCTCTCCCAATGGCCCCACAGTGAACTGGAAGGGGCTCCCGGGGACGTGTTGGCCTCGGTATTTAACATTTATGGTGTGAGGTCCCATCTCCTGAGGGATGAAGCGCACGCTGTAGGCGCTGTTTTCTCCTTTAATGATTTCTGCATCTTCTGTCTTTCCTCCAGGACTCGTCACCTGTGCTGTCATCTCCTGGTTTCCTGCCTCACCTGGGAGGGAGTGG